CCCAGAGAAGCTGTGGGTGCCCCATCCCTGGAGGTGCTCAAGGCCACGCTGGATGGGGCTGTGGGCAGCCTGGGCTGGGGGAAGGTGTCCCTGCCCAGGGCAGGGGGTTGGAGCTGGGTGATCTTTAAGGTCCCTTCCAACCCAAACCATTCCATGGCTCAATGAAACTGCGGCCACCTCTGTCCTGCTTCAGGGCCCCGTGTGCCAAGTGCAGCTGATGATCAGGTCCTTCTGGCAAAGAGCCCTGTGAGGAGCTGGGGAGCTGCCTCTGATACGACTGCTTACTCTGATACAACTCCAACAACACATCTGTGCCAAGTGCCTGGGTGATAACACAGAGTGTGGCTGCACCGCAGGACAGAATGGCTTAAGATGACTTTGGTTAAGTAAAAACCACGCCTGCCATTGCGTAACTCCAGGCTGCTGTCTTAGCAATGCTGCTGCAGGCAGCTGTGCTGTTAGGACAGCTGTCAGGCTCTCCCCTTCCCTGCAAGCACCAAGCCCTGGGCAGACATCTCCTGCCAGCACAGCGACCATTCACCACATTGGGTCTGGCCACAGCCTGTGTTTGATGCACATGAGTATTAAAGCAAAGAGCTGCTTGTGCATTTCAGTTCAGATTGCAGCATGGATTCCTAAAAGAGGCAGTACAGAGAGATCTCTGAGCGAGGTATGATCACTGGGCATTTATTTCCATGAGACACCTCTCCCCCAAACTGAAAATACTTAGTAAGTCCCTTAATAGTGTAAATCCTAAAAGTAACAGCCTTTAGCACATTCATTCAGCACGTGTATACAGAAGGGACAGGCCATCACCTCTGTGCACACCCATCAAATCCTACTGAGCGATGACTATGGAACAAGCTTCAGTCGTAAATTCTTTAGTGGAATATCCTCAAGGCAGAGACACTTCATGTTTCCTCATGGAAAAGTAGAAGCCTCATTGGGAATAGGCGATCCAGCCAATAGTCAAGTTTATCTTATGTTATTTCCCTTTTACAGTAGCATGTTTATTACTGAATTTCATATCTATATTTTACCTCCATCAATAACATTGTGTTCTTTCTCTTGAATGATCAGGTTGATCAATACTGTATTTGCCTTGGAAAGGCTGTGCCACTTCCACCATTACCCTAAAACTACAAAGATTTCGGAATTAGCTGATGGTCAGCTGCTGTATTCGCATATTTTCAGGATTACATCTCGCTCATACAGTGCTCCACAAAGGAACCAAACACAGGCATTGTGCTTGGCTTGCTCTTATCAGGAACTACTGAAACCAGAACAAATGTTTATTATTAATTATTATTATTGGCTTCTAGGAGTACATCTTGTAATTGGCACTGTGCAAACACAGAAAAGAAAGGCCGACTGTGTCCCGAGAGTTTATAATCTAGGGAGTAAACTTCAAAAGAAGCGGGTAGGTTTATGCCACAAAGGAGGAGGAAGAAGGAGGGGGAAGAAGATCAAGCTTGTTTGATCATGTTGCTTTACAAAAAGTGAAAGGAAAAAGCCCTTTGGATTGGTGGGGCTTGTAGGCTCTTTGTTAAGCTGTTCCTCCAATGTGCTGGGAGTTTCTCCATCGGTCACCGCAGTATTTCCCAGTTTGGAATCATTTCTGTCCTAATCTAGAAAGTGCAGCACCCTGGCTCTCCTTCTGAAACGTTTTATAGTTTATAGTTATTCTGTGTCTTGAAGAAAAGGATCAAAATATCCAGTCAGACCACACCCAAGAATAAGACGGGAGCCAGAAGCGTTAGCGGCAACGTGACTGCCGGGTAGGAAGCAGCCTACACAGCAGCGGTGGCCGGGAGCTCAGCAGTCCCTGCCTGCTCCACAGTGTCCATGGGGCTGTGGAGGGCATGATCCTATAGGAACCTAAGGGGTTGTTTGGATTTTAATGGAGTTTCTTGAGGGGAGGACGTAAGACAACAAAGATTTCCTGGGAGAAAGATGTCTCTAACTTTTACACTATTGGAACAACACATCCAAGGCCGAGAAGAATATGCACAGAGAGCATAAATATAATTAGATTAAGACTGAAATTCTGATAATAGATATTCCCAATAATAACCAGGGAGCCAAAAAGTCTCAGTGGTAGAGATGCCCCATGCTGTCCCAGAAGCTCTCCAAAATTTTCAAGGATGTTTTCAACTGATACAACAGAGGAAAAGATAAAGATGGCAGTCTTCATTGATAATGTGCTCTAAATTGCATCATTTGAAAACTATTTACCAAAAAACTGTTTAGAACTTCCCCTTTGGAACAGTTCTTGTATCTCACTGTGCTCTTCTTTTGTTGTGTATCTGGGGAAATTAATCTACAAGCACTGGAAACAGGCATCAGCGTAGGAGCCAGCCCGGTCCTAACTATCTTAGCTACAATTTTTGTCGGCCACTTATCTGAGCTTCTGTGTTATATCTAAGAACAAATAGACTATTTCTTTAATTTCACGTCCTGCTTCTGTGCTAGTAACTCGTATACCATTGTTCACCAACAGCGATTATAACAGAAGCTTTTATATGGCCAGTTGTTGCTGTAGCCAGGGTCCAAGGCTAAATCTTGAGTATATGCTAGAAAAGTGATACCTAGAATTAGTAATTGTAGGTCATTTTAATTGAATGGTTGGAAGGTGGTCAGATATTTAATAGATTAGTCATAAAAAAAGAGTGGGCTAATTCTGCTTGACAGACAATGCTGACTGTTGTCCCAAATGCTTTTCTCATTACTGTCTGAAGAATCTATCTTTCTTCCTTGCCACCAAGAATGGAAAGACCGTAATAGCCACAGCTAGGATTGACTACTCAAATCCAGATTACTGGGCATGCAGAAAAGATCTTTCTCACCTATAGACAAAGAGGACAGGGAAGTGTCACATTATCCAGGCAGAGGTTTTTCTTCTTTCTCACGTTCCTCTTGATCTTTATGCTGGCATTTTCAACTGGACTTTACTTGGCAGGAGCAGAAGTTTTGCTAATCCTTTTTGTCCTTGAAATGCCTGAGAATGTGAGCCTTCTTGTATTTTTTTTTTTTTTTCCTATGAATTTAATTCATATTTCTAGAGATTCAAAAGCTCACTGCTAATAAAATGAAATTGTCGTGCTAGGATGATCAGTCCAATTTTGATTAAGACAAGTAGGGGTACACAAACCTGGTAATGTTTCTACAACATATAAAACGTTATCAAATGTTGTTTACATGTTTTGTTCTGAAACACCATTCTTACATAACCCCTGAACGTTAACACATGTTATTAAAGTTTAAACTTACACCCACCACTCGTTAATCTGCTTACAGCTTCCCTCAACAATATCGGCGAAAAGGGATACACCAAGACTGATGTAATTAACCTGGTTTTATGTAATTCTGGAGCATGATATCTCATTTGTAATACAGTTAGCACCTTCTTTCATAAGCCTGAGAACTGCGGCAGAGACAAGGGGCAGCGAGGTAGCATGTGTTGGCTGGGGCAGCATTTGCATTCAGAGAGGCAGAAGCCAGAAGCAGAAGAGCAGAAGTTTGAACATAACCTTGCAAGTCATGTAACAAAACCGGGAAAACTTTATTTTCCATGCACATAGCTTCAATTGCTTGTGTTGTAGCGCTGCAGGCAGTAACAGCGTTTGTATCTGCTAGCAGTGTTAAGGACCCACTGAAGGCTAGCACGTTCAGGGCAGATCCCTGCAAACCTCATCTGAGGACATCGCTGACAGAAAGCCACTGATGATTCAGTGAATTTGGGGCCACTAATTTATGGTGATTTTGTCAAACTTCATGCTGCAAAAAACTCAAGTTTTTAAGTGCAAAAAACTCAAGGTACACAACATTTAAGTATGGTCTCCTTTTCAGAAGGCCTTCTAGTCAGGAAAGAAGATCGGTGTGACATTGCTAATCTATACTGGCTTTTATGTGACTTTTCATTGTCTTACAAGTAGTTTACTTACAAGTAGTACTTACAAATAGTTTACTTGACTACATGTTCCAAAAAAAATCCAGCAATCGAAGTGTATGAATTTATAATTCCCTGCTGTTTCTGGGTTGGGTTATTTGCTTTTGGCTTTTGCTTTTGTCTTTCTTCTTCTTTGGCACAGTTTGCCCTTTCCCAGGTTTCTGCCACTTTACAAGTTCTCCAGAAGCCTGTAAGGCTTCATCTACACCATGAAATAAAACATGCCAGACTGGTGCTTGGGATTGAGCATGCTCCAGAGCAATCTGTCTTGGGGAGAACAGTTGCTGTGGCCCAAACTGAGCCACGAAGTTGCAGAAATTTCAGTCAGAGCTCCAATGCTGGAGCTAATTGCTTGGACCTTCTTTATCTAGAAGTGCATGTGCTGGAAACGCATGAACTTCTCTCTAAGACTGCCTCAGACTTATGACTTCATTCCAGGCTATATATAGGACATCTGTTTTCCTCCCATAGAACAACAGCTCGGGTCTGCCAGAAGTGTGGCACACAGGCGCACAGTGTCCCATGGGGGCATTCGTGCCCTGCCAACATGCCACGCAGACGTGGAGAGGACCAAGCAAGGGCAGAGTACTTAACCCAGACAGTGCCCTCTGTGCTCCTGTGGTTCTCTGGCATCCCCAAATCCTAAATCCTGTTGTCAAGGGAGTGTTTGAAGGCTAAAGGAAGAGCGACAAAGCAGCAAGGTCTCCTTACAGAAGCAAATTTAGATAACTTATCCCCGGCTTCTTTTGCTATATGAGAGCTTTCAGGCTAGAATAATGTGAAAAGTGTTTAAATGTGAACCAGAACTAAGCAGGGCCCAAGAGAACAAGCAAAGTGTCTCAGCCTCTGGTTCTGTTTCCCTAGATCTCGCAGGCTGTTCTTGCAAAATCCTTTCCTCTTTCTCCATGGATTCTTTGGATCTGCTTCCCTCTAAAGGCCATTCAATGAATTATACTATTGCCCATAAAATCAAGTCTTTCATACGAAATCAATGCCCAGAACTATTCCTTATCTGGAAAGGTGTTTGAGCTCTAGAAAGTAGAGGAATAAATACTTTTGAAGTTATTTGTTTATTGTTGTTGTAAGAGAGCTTAAAAGAAATAAGATTCAAGTAAAGTGATAAATTTTATCAACCAGTGGAATTTTTCATGATAAGTTTATCTGAAATTAAGTCTCAAGGATACCTGGTTTTGAAGTAGTACCCTACAGTACAGTAAGGTGAACCACAGAGCTGAACTGGCTTGTCCTGGGCAGAGACCTGAGCCTGACTGTCCTCACTCCCAGACGTCTGCTCGAAGGGTGTTTGACCTCTCGGCTATACCGGCAGTATTACTGCAGCTCCACGTGATCCTAGGTAGGGAACTTTCTGGTGTAGTAAAGTTTGGGCAATGTCTCGTCTCAGAAGGTGAAACTGCTCTCTAATGTGCTACATTTCATACTTGTCGTGTTTGATTAAGGCGAATTCCGGGGATACCAAAGTAAGCCAGCTGGACTTGAAACCTGGTTATAACGAAGGATGGAGAAATGTAGGATGGACGCTTTGACTTCATCTCTTTCACCAAGTAACATACACGCTACTGAAAATCAACAAGATTGCAGCCTCTTCCAGCACGGAGTCAAGATTCTGGTTTTAAAAATGTGAGAGCTACCTCCCCTGGAGCAGTGAGGCTCAGATTTAAGTGCCATGAAATTTAGAGCTTTAATGGAGGCAGTGGACTTCCACTGTGGATAAAAATGAGCCCAAGCTGGAGAAGCATGCTGAAGAGCTGGTAATTTTGTCTGCTTATTTAAGAGAAGGAAAAAAAAATACAAACAAACACAAAACAAAACACCAAAAAAAAAAATAATGGAGGAGATTAAGGTTTGCCGGTTTTCTATTTGGGTAGACTGTGAAAAATAGGATAATCACTAAGTATACTTGTAATCTGAGTAATAAATGTCATCAACCAGCATTTACGCTCAACTTCAGCACTGCATAGACATCTCCAGTGTGGGGGATCAGATTTTAGGTAAACTGAGTATCTCTCTCCAGTTCTCTCTGTATGGGGAGTGGAGAGCAATTAAATTCCTGAGGTAAATCAGAGCTGAGAGCAGGGCTCATTTAACTTTGAGAAAAGAGATCAAATGAGGTGTTTAAGCATAGGCAATTTTAAAAGTCCTTAAAATATCTGAGACTTTCCTCACTCTCCAACTGCAGTCAGGGCACTGGAGGATGCCTTAGGGCATTTAATATGGCACTATCCACATATGTTTAGATCTCTAAAATGCTCCTTAGTTGTTTTGTCCAATGTAATTGCTCTAATCAGACAGTAATGAAGCAACAGCAGGGCTCCTTCTTAGTGTGTTAGCTTGCTCCTAGTGACTCAAAGCAGCAGGCAGCTGTTTGGGCTCCTGAAGCCTCCAGGTGCCCTGGGTAGAAATAGAATTGCTCACACAGCTGTTGGCTCTTCATCAGGCCCTTCATTGTCCTCACTGTCATTCAGTGCACTTCCAGGATCTCTGCTGGAGATAACTGTAGGTGTCACTGCTTGAGCAGGAGGGTTAGACCAGATGACCTCCAGAGTCCCTTCTTACCTCAACCATTCTGTGATTCTCTGATTTGACGAGACCATAAACCAGGCTATAATTCTGAGCACAGCAGACTCCATGGATCATTACCAATAGGTGACACCTTCTCCCACATATGTCCATGAGTTGTACCTATAAAAATAAATAAATAAATAAATAAATAAATAAATTAAATTCATTTTCATAACATGAAAACACTGAGAAAAAAAAAATCAAAAATTCATAATTTTGCTTTAGGGCCATCATTTTGGGCCTGGAAGAGATCCAAGCCAAGCCAAACCAAACCAAATGACATACAATGATGTCATGGACAACTCGCTTTAGCAAAAGTTAGCAGGAGGATATAAGCCTTCCTGCAATTTTGGCAGGAGTGCCTTTAGCTATGTCAGTGCAGGCTGTAATTCGTACAAGCAACTGAGCATTCGTACCTAATAAATAAGAAATTGTTAAAATAGGTGAAAGAGCACATGTTGCCGAAGGTGTTTTGGAACAGCTACAGAACAAAAGACATAACCAGTTCTGCAAGAACTGTGTCCAGAGTATCTGCAGAGTCCAAACCTCTGAGAGACTTCTCTGAGAACAGAGAACAATATGAAGTAAAATGAGATATCCTGCGCACAGTTGGGTATTATTTACAAAAAAAAACATTATGTTCTGTTGATGGGTTAAGGGGGACATTAAGTTGTGTTAAAACAGGAACGCATGTAAGATAAATCTCCTAGGGAGAAGTTGTTCATACAAAGAACAAAGAAGTTGTGTAAAACTGGTAAAATTTGATCACTTGTAGACCCAAATCTGCCTACAGCAGTACTTCAGTCCAGTAGAATAAGGAGTTAAACAGGTTACTAACTAGGTTCATTAGAAAGCACTGTGCAGAGCGTGATTTGCTGGCAGGAAAAGCTCAAAGATGACATGACAGACCTCAAAGTCACGAAGGATCAGCTCTTCGGAGAGTTCTCCCACTCTGTGGGCAGGAAGTGCAAATAACTAACGCTATCTCTCCCCGGGCAGGTAGATCACTACTCTGCAAGCATGAAGAAAAAAGGCTACCTTCTTTCATGTACTGTATGATTGGAGGTATCAGGTTGTCACTACAGGAGATGAAAGTCCACAAATGTCCTAAAAATGGAGGCAAAGAGGACAATGAGAATTAAATAATGTTTCCACTCTTCTTCCTGCCTACAGAAAGAAAGAGGGAATGCACCCCACCTCTCTCAAGCAAATATTTTTGGATATGATGTCCTCCCCATCTATTGTTTCTCTTTTGCATAGAGACAGAGCCCAGACAATCAGCAGAAACTACCCTCTGAAATTTTAGTCTGCACAGTTTGGGCTAGATGAAACACATCTTAACACTGCAAGTCTTCACCCTGCAGCTCGGATGGCCACCTCTGGAAAGGGCACTATATATATAATAGGTACCTATTTGTGGCACTGACAGATGGTTACAGAGCCCTGTCTTTAATGATTATTTGGTAACTGTGCTTTCTGTAGCTTCTTGTACAAAGAATTTATCTCCATAGTCTGAAAGCACTGGCTGTAAAATCTGTATGTTATGTTCCCAGATACTTTGCATCTCAGAAGCGTGGAGTGCAAAGGAGGTGCAAAGCCTAATTTTGTTAAAGGTTTCCAGGGAGCAGAGTGCCATGTACTCAAGGAAAAAAAGTAAAAAAAAATCCAGCAGATTTGAGGAGAAAGTTCAGAGAGGCCCACTTTGATTATCTCAGGAACAGTTGGCACTAGCTCAGCCACCTGAAGCATCCCAAGTGCTTCAGCCAAGAACTGCCGAAGCACTAGGATGTTGAGGCCACCAAGCCTTCCCCTTCAGCCACACCCTCTAGGTACCACAGGGGTGCACACATTATCCATCCACCCACTGGTGGGAGTCCCCTCCATCACCTGGGAAAAAGGTAGGGCTTCAATCAAAGTTGAAACATTCCTAACAGAAGTGCCTCGGTGTAGTCCTCAAGGTGAGGGAAATAAATCTGTAGTACTGTCCCAAATGTGAACACCAGGCTTTGAGCACATGCATTGCTCTGCAGCTTTGCCTTGTTCCCTTGAGTAGAAAGCAGGAACATCGACATACAGATTTATTTTTAATGGTGCTGAAATGTAGTGATACTGATGCTTAGGAGGTGAGGCGGCTGATAAACTTATTTACCAATTCCAAATAATAAAACCAGCATTTAAAATTTACCATCAGAGAAATAAGTTGTCTGAGAAAAATAAGCAGGTGTAGCAAATCAATACCGTGTTGGCTCAGTTTTTCATAATGGGAAGTCAAAAGCAGCAGAACGTCTCCCAGGTGGTTCTTGGCTGTGCAAGAACGAAGCCGCATTTCCTTCCCAGGAAGCAACGTGCTATTAATTGGTGCTTTGAAGGCAACTCGCTTCAGAAGTGGTGCTGAGGGACAGCTTTATGGGACCTTACGAGAGGTGGGCAGATGGCCATTTCATGATGTTAACAGCACGCTTGTTCCTGTGCTCCTCTCTCTCATCAAAATGTGAATGAATCACCACGTCCAGGAAACTCTCGCAATCATTTTACAATTATAATGCAGCTGAGACAGACAAATCCTCAAGAGTAGCAGATCGTTCTCCTTGAAATACAAGGTGCGCTGTTATAAAGGAAATAAAATTTTCCCCGTAACATCCAAAACTCTTCAATGCAACACGCAGACAGCTGAGGCATGTGAAAGACAAATAAATAAATAAATAAATAAATAAGGAAACAAAAAGAAATGAAAAGGAAAAGTAGATGAGGAAAAGTTGAACAAGTCACTTCAGAGGAAATGAGTGATCTTGGCCAAGGGCTGTGAAATGTGAAAAATAAATACACAAGGAAAACAAAAGTGACAACAAAGACTTGGTAAAAAGGCCCACTCACACGGCAGCATTTGCAGCAGTAGATCTTATTTGGGGAAAGCAGTATTTTTAAGACAAAACTATTCACACTGGAGCTTCCCTGCCATCCCACTGAATGCCAAAGAACAGAAAAACTAGGCAGACATTTCCTTACTTTGCACAGGACAGATTTGTCTCGAAACCTCTGACAAACTCCTCCCACTCCGCACCAAAACACGGAGCAGTGTTAACAAATGGCAAGAACGGGTCCAAACCTACTCCCAGTAGGTTTGGCACTGTAAGGGAATCTGCAAATCAGCCCCAATTCCACAAGCACTGAGTGGAAAAAGCCTCCTCCACCTCCCTTCCTCTCCACTTGTGGAGCACCAGGAGAAGGCAGAGCCCCGAGCAGCAGCACCTGTCAGGTTTTCCTCCCAAAGGCAGCAGGTGACTGGCTGAACAAGATCTGCACCAGCAGCTATCTGAGCAGACGGCAGCAATTCAGCTGAAGGCAGTAAGAGGAAATGCCAAGGTAAACACATTCCACATGACTTGCAACACAGTGTGAAATTTCACCCTATCATAAATAACGCCATAAATGCAAATGTTGGATTTCCCAAGGGACCGGTCGGACACAACCTTTTCCCGAAGGAGCAGATGGGGAGCTAACGTCGTATCGCTGCTCTTCGCCCTGGCTGGCGCATCTGAGGGGTTTCTTCTGTGAGGATGGCCCTGTTGCCCACTGCTCCCACCTGCTGCCTGCCTGGGTAAAGGAGGATGCTTCACGAGCTGCGTGCTCGGGCACACAGGGCCAGCGAATTAGATAAATGCCAGCAGCTCCTGGGAAGACAATGAACAAAGGTTAATTCCTTCCCCTTTCCCAACGTGACATTTTCACTGCGTTCAAGTGCAGTGTGATACCTAGTTTCTGCCATAATTTGAGGCCATGCCCTTCCACGTGCATAAAAGCCAACCCACTTCTTATCCTGACAGTGGATTTTTTTTGGTTGTATCTAGTTTTAACACTCAAAAACCAGGCTCATCCAACTACAGCTTCAGCAGATATCGTCTAAGAGGAGAGAAATCCTTCCAAAGTGTGACTGTCCACAGGCAGGAGACGACACAGACTGGAGCCATGTCCAGTTTATCGCTGGCCTGGAAAGTTGCTCTTCCAGAGGAGCACAGACAGTCCCTGATTTCAACAGCCCCACCTCTGCAGTTAGGTACTGCTGAGGAGGTGGGACTGGCCCCACTCATTTTAGCAGTCCGAAAGGTGTGTCTGAGGCGACTGCTCCTGCAAGAAGTGAAGACAGATACATCTCCAGAAGGCAATCCATATGAGCCTGATGGGATAGACCATCTTTTGGAAGTATCTGTCCTTCTCTAGTGACTAGATGGGCTGCTTAGAGCCAGTGCCTTAGGCTAGTTTCTTAAACCTCAGACAGCTAAGTTAGGAGAGGCCAATCCCATGTGAAATGAGTAGGCAGCTCAGACATGCTGCTCATAAGGGACACCACGGCTCATGTGTTAGGGACTCCTCAAGGATCCCTCCATGTACAAAGCCATATCACATGCAGAGTAAGTCTTGCTTACAAAATGACCACACGTCTCATTTTGCTGCATCCCCCTAGCACTGTGCCAAGATGTAAGTGCTGAGAGGGTCTTCCTCAGGGTTTGCTCCTGCTTTTCATGCCTGTGTTTCCTCTGCCTATCTCCAGCATATTCCAATGTGCCACACACTTCCTTGTCTTCTGGGGTTACATAAATATTTCTTCTGCTTTCTCTTTTTTTTTTTTTTCACCATCCTCTCTTATGATAGCCTCTCTGACTGATAGCTGAAATTACCGTTCTCCCAAGATCCAACCATTTCTTTTGCTTGCATTATCCATCTGCCACATTTCAGCTTGTTCAGGGAGATGAGTTTTGTGATGTAGCCCTGAAAAGTGACATTTCTTCTTACAAATTAAATAATAGCTTCCGTTTGCTTTTCTGTGGCTGCATATAGGATCTGATCATGCACTCAGAGCTGCATAAATCTTAATCCCAGTGATACTAATTGAGTGATGCTGCTGCAAAACTGCCATAGCGGAGATCACATCCTGATTTGTCAGGTCATTTTTTTCTCCAAATTTTCCAGGTGAACAGATACCAATGGACTATTTTATATATATTTATCTTTGCCTTCACTGTGCTTCAGCAGATTCACTTCAAAGTCATACTTGAGAGAGATCACAGTTCGATTATTAACCTCATCAGCAGATAAATTCACAATTCAGTAGCCATCTGTTCCAGGACTTGTAAGTGATCTGAAGTCAAGGAGCAGTCAATTTCTAACAAGTTGTTCAATGTGCCGTAGGAAAATGAAAAGAGGACTTCATTGTATAGAGGTCTTTTTTTTTTTTTCTTTTTTTCTTTTTCTCCTCTCTCTCTCTTTTTTTTTTTTTTTTAAACTATATCAATTTGCCAAGCATTTTCTCCAGAAGAGGGCGCAAAAATCGTATTGACCAATACAAAAGACATACATTTGCTGGCCAGCCAATCTTTATGCATATCAAAAGCTTTTCAGGCTCTTTCTATCCGCATTTGTAAATATGGGATTCGAAATTCAACACAGTAATAACTCCCACCCCGTGACATTTATAATATAGATGGCTATGTATGAATTAGTCGGTCCTGGTTCCCTTTACAGTCTGTAAAAAGGAGCAGGCACTTCATGCACACAGCTCATCCAGCTCACCTTATAGTTAGTTATTCATCCAAGTAGCTCTCCAGCCTCCTTGGACTATATTGCCTGGAGCTTCACTCACCTGTGTGGGGCCTGGACATCTACCTAATGTGTAGACAAGTTTGAGAGAATCCCACCTCTTGTGTTGGCCAGGTAATGCTCTGCAGTGGCAGCCTGGGAGAGGATTACCCTTACTGTCCTTATTGCCAAACGCCAATTATCGTATTACATCATATTCTTTGTGAGTTTAATTGAACTTATGGAAAGTTCTGATTACTTCATTTGTGGGACTGTTATCATTGCCGCAATAAGTGACCGAGATCAAGGGTGCCTTGCAGAGGTGCGAGGGAAGTTTTGATGAAATCGTCTGGCAGAGGAAGAGAAGCGTCACTGTGGTTAGACCGCAGCGTTACTTAAGCCTTCTATCACACAGATCCATAGCTGCATTTATTTATGTAATATCAATTTATTTATTTATTTATGTAATATCAATCCCTGTTACCACTTCGCTTGGCCTTTGCCAGTGCTCTTTAAACTCCGCAGACCAGCAGATCTTGAGGAGGGGTTGAAAAGCTTGAAGTAAGCCCTTACTGTCAAGCCTTCCTCGTAACTGCTCACACACAAAAAAAAAACGAACAAGCATGGGTCGTCATTCAAAATAATGACTCAT